CAACACTAGGGCACCACCACCTTCCTCCAACACCACCACCACCACCACCACCTTCCTCCAACACCACCACCACCACCACCACCTTCCTCCAACACCACCACCTTCCACCACCACCAACACCTTCCTCAAACACCACCCTTCCACCACCACCACCTTCCTCCAACACTACACCACCACCACCTTCCTCCAACACCACCACCTTCCTCCAACACCACCACCTTCCTCCAACACCACCACCTTCCTCCAACACTAGGGCGGCACCACCACCACCATCATATTCCACCACTAGGGCAACACCACCACCTTCCTCCAACACCACCACCACCACCTTCCTCCAACACTACCACCACCACCACCTTCCTCCAACACTAGGGCACCACCACCACCTTCCTCCAACACCACCACCACACCACCACCACCTTCCTCCAACACCACCACCTTCCTCCAACACCACCACCTTCCTCCAACATGGCACACCACCTTCCTCCAACACCACCACCTTCCTCCAACACACCACCTTCCACCACCACCACCTTCCTCCAACACTAGGGCACCACCACCACCTTCCTCCAACACTATGGCACCACCACCACCTTCCTCCAACACACTACCACCACCACCACCTCCACGACCTTCCACCACCACCTTCCTCCAACACTAGAGCACCACCACCACCTTCCTCCAACACTAGAGCACCACCACCACCTTCCTCAAACACTAGGGCACCACCACCACCACCACCTTCCTCCAACACTAGGGCACCACCACCACCTTCCTCCAACACTAAGGCACCACCACCTTCCTCCAACACTAGGGCACCACCACCATCTTCCTCCAACACTAGGGCACCACCACCACCATCATATTCCAACACTAGGGCACCACCACCACTTTCCTCCAACACTAGGGCACCACCACCACCTTCCTCCAACACTAAGGCACCACCACCACCTTCCTCCAACACTAAGCCACCACCACCACCACCACCCTCCAACACTAGGGCACCACCACCACCACCCTCCAACACTAGGGCACCACCACCACCAACAACGTGACACTCACGCTGGAACAACCGACGAAGGAAAGCTAGGTAGCATAAAAAAAGTAGAGACGAGAGAAAATGCGGATCAAATGCCGGCTGAAAGAAACTTTGTCTGGGGTCGCTGGAGCGGGGGAGACCAGGCCCCACCATACGCTGGCTCAACAATGGCGGCCACGCGGAAAAAGGCGTGTTGGAGTCAAAACAAAGAGGTGGGGTGCGGGGTGGAGAAGGTGGGGGAGGTAGGTGGAGTGTGTGGAGGGGGGAAAGGGGGTCCAGGAGTGAATTGGACGCGAGGGACTGAGGGCCTCATTGCCCTTCCTCACACTCTTACTCACTCACTCACTCACTCACTCGCTCTCTCGTCCATGCTACGCACTATCGTCCTCTCGCTTGCTGAAGGTACTTACTGAAGACTATGGAGGATACAAAGACCCTCTGGAGCCTCACAGACTAGTTCAACGGTTCCATTCACAAACCTCCGGAAACGTTCTTGCTGGCTGGCTTGGCCACACGCATGCGCACACACTCATACTGCCATCACTCACGCACTCACCACACGCATGTGCAGAGCGCCATAACCCCTAGCACAAGCATGCCACTGTACCCACCCACACGCATGTGCAGGAGGACGTTGCCCTCCACCGCCGATCAACACAGCTTCAACAGCCACAATACAAACACATCCAACCATGCTCAACATAGCAGGGAAATGAAAGGGGTCCTCTAGTACAGTAGCCTACGTCTTCCCTTCACATTCGAGTCCCGGGATCGATCCCCAATAGGACAGAAATGGTTGGGAACGTTTCCTTTCACCTGATGATTATATATGTTCCCCTAGCAGCAAATAGGCACCCGGGAATCAGACGACTGTTATGGGCTTGAATCAGACGACTGTTGACCCAATGACAACTTCGATACGTTATGTACGGGCTTCCTGTCCTCGACAACGGGAATGTTCTCTTAGGTAATATCCACAACGTGCAAGTTACAGCAAGGAGACACTAGGTGGCTATAGGAACTTAACGCGGGTACATGCAATGTAAGACTTCATCATACGGCCAGTAAAAGGAGGTCAGAATAACTGTCGAACATTAAAAGGAAGGAAACTCCTTCATGTATATCGACAATATACATAAGAACATCCTTGATGAACATGACATGAAATTATTTCGAGATTTGTATATCACCTGCAAGAGACCAATATTACAGTATGCAGCGTTAATAAAGAACACGCTTTAGTGTAGCCATCTTCACCAGCACACGACCCACGCCTGGTGTAGCCAACCCATCTTCACCAGCACACGACCCACGTCTGGTGTAGCCAACCCATCTTCACCAGCACACGACCCACGCCTGGTGTAGCCAACCCATCTTCACCAGCACACGACCCACGCCTGGTGTAGCCAACCCATCTTCACCAGCACACGACCCACGCCTGGTGTAGCCAACCCATCTTCACCAGCACACGACCCACGCCTGGTGTAGCCAACCCATCTTCACCAGCACACGACCCACGCCTGGTGTAGCCAACCCATCTTTACCAGCACACGACCCACGCCTGGTGTAGCCAACCCATCTTCACCAGCACACGACCCACGCCTGGTGTAGCCAACCCATCTTCACCAGCACACGACCTACATATATGAATCTACACTATATTTACACACGAGGAACACAAGCGAACAAGTCTTGGTGGGTTTTGCTGGAATATTCAGGAAGCAACTGTAAGCTGTGGCCAAGAACACCCGTCTTAACCATGTTATACAGGTAAGAAAGATTCCCTCAGGTTTATTCACAATTGTGAAGCTTAACAATGGCTTCTCTTAGCATCAGGGTGAGAGCGGGGTGAATATAGGACCTAAGCCTCTGAAGAGAGTAAAGAGATGTAGTACAAAGCTTAAGACCTTCTTGTAGTCTGTAGAATGTAGGGGGTAGAAATAGCCTAAACTACTCTATTCCTTTGAGATGTATTTTTTCTTGTCTCAATAAACATACTTGAACTTGATACAAAGACGAAAAACTAGGTCAGGATTCTTCAAGCATTTATGCAACATTTACGAAACCCGTACAGCTTTCCTCAGTAATGGCGAATTTCATTACATTTATTAAACAAATTCACGAGCTTCGAAGCTACAAAATCTATTAATGTTCTAAGTAACATCTTAGTGCTTAGGAGTTCATCAACTGGTTAATGTAAACACAGCCGCCATGACTGAGGAAAGATGTGAAAGTTTCGTAAGTAGTTGGGTAAACGCTTATTGCTTCCTGTCCCTCAGCCTCTGAACCACAGTACACCTCACACCAACAGTGACAAGATAACACACTCAAAACAAGGACAGGCTGCTCACCCAACACATTTTCTCACAAATGCGTCCCATTTTTAAACGGAATCGACCAATCCGTTAAAAATGAGACGTATTAATATTAATAAACACTGAAGGATTGTAAAATTCAAGTTTCAGTCGGCTTCGTTAGGGTAGGAGGGAAGCTTGAGTTAGTAAAACTTGAGTTGGTCGTAGCGCAGTCGATTAAGGGGCTCGTTTGGGATCCTCTCGGACGTAGGTTCAAAGCCTCGTCACGGCCCTTGTGGATTTGTTCACTGGAGTTGGTAAGTTTGTGGTGAGGTGTGACGGTAGGTCTTAAGGTGTGGACAACTGTTGCAATGGTCACCGTCTGTATCTCAAAATGTTATCATTCATGAAGTGATGAGACACAACGGTCTACCTGCCCGGTGACGCGGGAATGTTGGCGGTGACGCGGAAATGTTGGCGGTGACGGGGAATGTTGGCTGTGACGGGGAATGTTGGCTGTGACGGGGAATGTTGGCTGTGACGGGGAATGTTGGCGGTGACGGGGAATGTTGGCTGTGACGGGGAATGTTGGCGGTGACGGGGAATGTTGGTGGTGACGGAATGTTGACGGTGACCGGGAATGTTGGCGGTGACGGGGAATGTTGGCGGTGAGGGGAAATGTTGGCGGTGACGGGGAATGTTGGCGGTGAGGGGAAATGTTGGCGGTGACGCGGGAATGTTGGCGGTGACGGGGAATGTTGGCGGTGACGGAGAATGTTGGCGGTGACGGGGAATGTTGGCGGTGACGGGGAATGTTGGCGGTAACGGGGAATGTTGGCGGTGACGGGGAATGTTGGCGGTGACGCGGGAATGTTGGCGGTGACGGGGAATGTTGGCGGTGACGGGGAATGTTGGCGGTGACGGGGAATGTTGGCGGTGACGGGGAATGTTGGCGGTGACGCGGGAATGTTGGCGGTGACGGGGAATGTTGGCGGTGACGGGGAATGTTGGCGGTAACGGGGAATGTTGGCGGTGACGGGGAATGTTGGCGGTGACACGGGAATGTTGGCGGTGACGCGGGAATGTTGGCGGTGACGGGGAATGTTGGCGGTGACGGGGAATGTTGGCGGTGACGCGGGAATGTTGGCGGTGACGGGGGAATGTTGGCGGTGACGGGGGAATGTTGGCGGTGACGGGGAATGTTGGCGGTGACGGGGAATGTTGGCGGTGACGGGGAATGTTGGCGGTGACGGGGAATGTTGGCGGTGACGGGGAATGTTGGCGGTGACGCGGGAATGTTGGCGGTGACGGGGAATGTTGGCGGTGACGGAGAATGTTGGCGGTGACGGAGAATGTTGGCGGTGACGGGGAATGTTGGCGGTGACGGAGAATGTTGGCGGTGACGGAGAATGTTGGCGGTGACGGGGAATGTTGGCGGTGACGGAGAATGTTGGCGGTGACGGAGAATGTTGACGGTGACGGAGAATGTTGACGGTGACGGAGAATGTTGGCGGTGACGGAGAATGTTGACGGTGACGGAGAATGTTGACGGTGACGGAGAATGTTGGCGGTGACGGAGAATGTTGACGGCGATATACTCAGTACACCAACGATAATGTATTAAAACAACTGCACACTTACCCCCCGGGGCTCCTGGTGTTAAGGATATGAACATTCTCCCTCACCGCCAACATTCCTGCGTCACCGCCAACATTCCTGCGTCACCGCCAACATTCCCCGTCAACGCCAACATTCTTCCGTCACCGCCAACATTCCCCCGTCACCGCCAACATTCCCCCATCACCGCCAACTTTCCCGCGTCACCACCAACATTCCCGCGTCACCGCCAACATTCGCCGTCACCGCCAACATTCCTGCGTCACCGCCAACATTCGCCGTCACCGCCAACATTCCTGCGTCACCGCCAACATTCGCCGTCACCGCCAACATTCCTGCGTCACCGCCAACATTCGCCGTCACCGCCAACATTCCTGCGTCACCGCCAACATTCGCCGTCACCGCCAACATTCCTGCGTCACCGCCAACATTCGCCGTCACCGCCAACATTCCTGCGTCACCGCCAACATTCGCCGTCACCGCCAACATTCCCGCGTCACCACCAACATTCCCCGTCACCGCCAACATTCCCCCGTCACCGCCAACATTCCCCCGTTACCGCCAACATTCCCCGTCACCGCCAACATTCCCCCGTCACCGCCAACATTCCCCGTCACCACCAACATTCCTGCGTCACCGCCAACATTCCCCCATCACCGCCAACATTCTCGCTTCACCGCCAACATTCCTGCTTCACCGCCAACATTCCCGCGTCACCGCCAACATTCCCCCGTCACCGCCAACATTCCCGCGTCACCGCCAACATTCCCAGTCACCGCCAACATTCCCAGTCACCGCCAACATTCCGTCACCGCCAACATTCCTGCGTCACCGCCAACATTCCCCGTCACCGCCAACATTCCCGCGTCACCGCCAACATTCCCCGTCACCGCCAACATTCCCCCGTCACCGCCAACATTCCCGCTTCACCGCCAACATTTCCTGTTACCGCCAACATTCCCCGTCACCGCCAACATTCCTCGTCACTGCCAATATTCCCCGTCACCGTCAACATTCCCCCGTCACCGCCAACATTCCCGTGTCACCGCCAACATTCCCAGTCACCGCCAACATTCCCCGTCACCGCCAACATTCCCCCGTCACCGCCAACATTCCCCGTCACCGCCAACATTCCCCCGTCACCGCCAACATTCCCGCGTCACCGCCAACATTCCCCGTCACCGCCAACATTCTCACGTTATCGCCAACATTACCGCTTCACCGCCAACATTCCCCATCACCGCCAACATTCCCCTGTCACCGTCAACATTCCCCGTCACCGCCAACATTCCCGCGTCACCGCCAACATTCCCCCGTCACCGTCAACATTCTCACGTTACCGCCAACATTCCCCGTTACCGTCAACATTCCCCCGTCACCGCCAACATTCCCGCGTCACCGTCAACATTCCCCGTCACCGTCAACATTCTCACGTTACCGCCAACATTCCCCGTCACCGCCAACATTCCCGCGTCACCGCCAACATTCTCATGTTACCGCCAACATTCCCCGTCACCGCCAACATTCCTGCGTCACCGCCAACATTCTCACGTTACCGCCAACATTCCCGCTTCACCGCCAACATTCCCCCGTCACCGCCAACATCCCCCGTCACCGCCAACATTCCCGCGTCACCGCCAACATTCTCACGTTACCGCCAACATTCCCCGTCACCGCCAACATTCCCGTGTCACCGCCAACATTCTCACGTTACCGCCAACATTCCCCGTCACCGCCAACATTCCCGCGTCACCGCCAACATTCTCACGTTACCGCCAACATTCCCGCTTCACCGCCAACATTCCCCGTCACCGCCAACATTCCCCCGTCACCGCCAACATTCTCACGTTACCGCCAACATTCCCCGTCACCGCCAACATTCCCCGTCACCGCCAACATTCCCCGTCACAGCCAACATTCTCACGTTACCGCCAACATTCCCCGTCACCGCCAACATTCTCACGTTACCGCCAACATTCCCCCGTCACCGCCAACATTCCCCGTCACCGCCAACATTCCCCGTCACAGCCAACATTCTCACGTTACCGCCAACATTCCCCGTCACCGCCAACATTTCCGCGTCACCGCCAACATTCTCACGTTACCGCCAACATTCCCCCGTCACCGCCAACATTCCCGCGTCACCGCCAACATTCTCACGTTACCGCCAACATTCCGCTTCACCGCCAACATTCCCCGTCACTGCCAACATTCCCTGTTACCGCCAACATTCCCCGTCACCGCCAACATTCCCCGTCACCGCCAACATTCCCCGTCACCGCCATCATTCCCCGCCACCGTCAACATTCCCGCGTCACCGCCAACATTCTCATGTTACCGCCAACATTTCCCGTCACCGCCAACATTCCCCCGTCACCGCCAACATTCCCCCGTCACCGCCAACATCCCCACGTTATCGCCAACATTCCCCCATCACCGCCAACATTCCCCGTCACCGCCAACATTCCCCATCACCGCCAACATTCCCCGTCACCGCCATCATTCCCCGCCACCGTCAACATTCCCGCGTCACCGCCAACATTCTCATGTTACCGCCAACATTTCCCGTCACCGCCAACATTCCCCCGTCACCGCCAACATTCCCCCATCACCGCCAACATTCCCGCGTTACCGCCAACATTCCCTGTTACCGCCAACATTCCCCGTCACCGCCAACATTTCACTGTTACCGCAAACATTCCGCGTCACGTCATTAATGGCGTGAAAACGTATGACCACAAAGGAAAATTAAACATGAAGTACTTAAGCAGTTTTGTGTGTGTTTCCTCACACCTTGGCGAGACAATGACAACAGCTGACCCAGCAATGATATATACACACACAGGAATAGTGAATTGCACCGCTCTTGTGCCAGGTAAGTCCCCAACGGGCTCACTATAGCCCGTGCTACTTGGAACTTATTCTGGGTAGCTGAATCTGTAACAATAACTTCCCTCATCGTCCGCTCCTGTGCCAGGTAAATCCACTACGGGCTCACCATAGTCCGTGCTACTTGCCCCGCTCCTGTGCCAGGTAAGTTACGGGCTCACCATAGCCCGTGCTACTTGGAACTTGTTCCGAGTAGCTGAATCCATAACAACAACAACAATAACAACAAGAGTGAGAGACAGGGCGGGGAACATTGTGGGAGATTTTCTGAGTCATGCTCACGGTGTTCACCAGAGAACACCTCATCAATCGGGCTGTGATTCATACCCCAGACGGCGAGCAGCGGCGTCCAACCGCCCGTCCTCACAAGGGGCCAGATTCACGAAGCAGTTACGCAAGTTCTTAAGAACGTGTGCATCTTTCCTCAATCTTTGACGGCTTTGGTTACATTTATTCAACAGTTTACATGTATGAAAACCTCCCAATCAACTGTTGTAATTTTTATAAACAGCCTCCTAGTGCTTTGGAGTTCATAAACGGTTTAATAATTGTAAACAAAGCCGCCAAAGATTGAGAAAAGATGTACAGGTTCGTAAGTGCTTGTGTAACTGCTTCGTGAATCTGGCCCCAGGTTTCCCAACGTCAAGAAAACGGGCAGTTTAAAGTGTCGTCTCGTAACCTACCAGAGGACCCAAAACAGAAAACGGAACAGTACGTCACTTTCGCCAGCCGCTTCCATTTTCTAGTACTACCATTTTTAGCCTTGTGTAACGCATACGAGCGAAAAGCGGCGTTCTTTGTAAGAGGACAGGTTGGTGTAACAGCCTGGCTGGCCAGACCACCAACCAGGAAGCCTGGTCAGAGACCGGGCCGCGGGCCACTCATCACCGGAACCTTACCTAAGTAGACGCAAGGTTGTCAAGTTAACCTCTAAGGTCTTTCTTAAAATAAATATATCAGAAATGGACCAACAAATTACAAACTATTACTAAAATTTTCCCACCTCACCTCTCACAAACTTATTCCTGTGCATTTATACCAGTATTCCCCTTAGAATGCAAATCTGTAAATGAACAAACCCACAAGGGCCGTGACGAGGATTCGAACCTGCGTCCGGGAGCATCCCAGACACTGCCTTAATTGACTGAGCTACGACAGGGTTAAAAGACTTCACACTCACAAACTTCGTGAAGGAGGGGCACTGGGGTCATGCGTTGACCCCAACATCCTTATGACACTCCCGATAAAATCACCATTTATCCTACAAAGTTTAAAGTGGCTTGCCACAAGCATCTGGCCTTCAACCTCTTACAAACAATATGTCTTCAAGATACAGATATATCAGAGTTTGTGTACCTTCATATACTGCATTCTCGAGGTTACAATTCAATACGAGGCGTCCATCTTTAGCGTTTCCAAAAAGCAGCTGGTATACAAACCTTTCAGTTTGTTAGCATCATATTACACCGAGCGCCGCAGCAGAGGTCACAGGAAGGTAATCTTGACCCTCTAATGCTTCCGCCTTTGCAACATTTTGGCAATTAACATATTTAGCTCTGAAGCAGCGGTTAGTTTCAGAAGACGTGATCAAACTATATGGAAAATGCCCCGCGAAGAATGAGATGTTTTGGGATCCTTGCTCATAGAATATTTGCATGTTGTGTGGAGAATAGCTTAGAGGCAAGAGATGTCAAGTTTACACGTTTACAAACATTAAGTATGGTGTGTGTGTGTGTGTGTGTGTGTGTGTGTGTGTGTGTGTGTGTGTGTGTGTGTGTGTGTGTGTGTGTGTGTGTGTTCAAAAGACAAAAAACACAATTATTACAATAACTATAAAAAAACACATACTTACCCATGACTTACCTGCTTTGTTTTTGTTAGTTTGTTAGTTGGTGTAAGTAGGGGTTAGTAAAATAGGTGCGTGGTTATTATCGGATATTAATAATTTGTTAATTGTCTCAATTAGTCTCGCTTTAGTGAATTTTGTTGATTTATTATTTAAAGTGAATTAATTAACTCATTATTTATAAATTAGTAATGGTTTTAGTTACAAATTAATAAAATTATTAGTAATAAATTAGTAAAATTATTAGTTATCAATTAGTAAAATTATTAGTGATCAATTAGTAAAATTATTAGTGATCAATTAGTAAAATTATTAGTGATCAATTAGTAAAATTATTAGTGATCAATTAGTAAAATTATTAGTAATCATTTAGTAAAATTATTAGTAATCAATTAGTAAAATGATTAGTAATAAATTAGTAAAATCATTAGTATAAAATTAGTAAATTTTATTAGTATATATTAGTTTATTTTATTAGTATACATTAGTAAATTTCAAAGTATAAAATTTGTAAAAAAATAATATAAAATATATATGAATTTTTCGGCTCTTTCAATCAGCATGAACTTGGCAATTTACAATTTACGAACCAAATACTGATACAAAAACACAAGTAATATTTATGAAAACTAAATTATCTATAGAAAAGAAAATTAATTTTGTAAATAAAAATATATATGGCAACTTACAAAAATGACTTCGAGTTTGCATCTCACTAAAGTAATTTGAAAAATAATCAGTATCATAAAAAATTATATTAATTGCTTTCACGAACATATGGAATTAATAGGTTAGTACGTTAAGTGCGGTGTTAGTAAAGTGCGGAGTGCCTGTTTCTACTGTGGTACAACTTATAATGAACACTTATAAAGAGCACTTACAGCCACCACCGTGCCTCGCTCCAAGCGTAGTAGATTCTCTACTTGTAAAGTAGCACTTTCGAGTTACAGCATTAGTTGAATATCTGCTTAATTAATTCTGCCAATGGGTTTGTTGACAAGCTGCTACTAACTGAGCCAGCACAACTGGTGTAAAATGTGTTGTTGTTGTCAATTATTCTGAGATCATAACTTGACACTAGTTTCTAAATATTTCTTCTTTCATTGATAACAATTACAATATTTGTATTATATTAAAACATTATTACTATTACTATTTATTTTTATATTATTATTATTAATTATTTTATTATTATTATTATTTATTATTATTATTATTGAGAAAATCAGTCGGGGCAACAAGGGTTCGAACCTGCTCATTTGGTACAATTGAGCAGGTTCGAATCCTTCTCATTCCTCCTACTGATTATCTCATTGACAGATAACGTTAATGTGATTTAACTATGCCTTATTCTTATTATTAAATATTATTAGCATCATTATTATTATTATAAAAGTAATATTTATGAAAACTAAATTATCTATAGAAAAGAGAATTAATTAATATATTGCAGTATTATACTATTATGCCTGTTGCTTGTTGAAAAAAAAATTATATGAGTTTAAGGAGCTGAGCGAGGCACGAGGGCCAGCACCAGACCAACTTGTGCAGGGAATTAGTGGCTTTGGTGTTAGCGGATCATTAGCTCTTGTTAGTAGACGTTGTTAGTTCCATGCATTACGGAATTACTCTAGTGGGGATGTTTACCTAAGTGTGTGTGTGTGTGTGTGTGTGTGTGTGTGTGTGTGTGTGTGTGTGTGTGTGTGTGTGTGTGTGTGTGTGATGCGAGGTGTGGCTCGCTTGCTCCGTCTTACACATGATTCACACTTTCTAATATTGTTATACTTGCTGTGGATATGACTCATGCTGTATTGACAGGGGTGTATGTGTGTAGTCTGGTGTATAATGGCGGGGGGTGGGGGCTATGTAGCGATTGGTATGTAGTATATTATGAGGTATAATGATGTAGTCGAATATGTGGTATAATGAAGTATGTTATGTGGCAATATGGAGAATGCTATGTGGTATTATGATGAATCGTAGTATAACGTGTGGAATAATGATTTTGTATAACATGTGGCAGTATGATGTAGTATAACACGTTGTATTATGATGCAGTATAACATGTGGTATAATGAATCAGTATAATATATGATAATGATGAAGTATAACATGTGGTATAATGCTGAGGTATAACATGTGATGAGGTAATATAACATGTGGTATAATGACGATGTAGTAATACATGTGATATGAGGTAATATAACATGTGGTATAATGATGTAGTATAACATGTGATATAATGATGAAGTATAATATTTGGTATGAGGTAGTATAACATGTGGGTTATACTACATGAGGTAGTATAACATGTGGTATAATGAGGTAATGTATCATTTGGTATAATGATGTAGCATAACATATGACATTATTATGCAATATATTAACGTTTAATGCAGTTTCTTGTATAATGCACAAACATACACAACTGATGTTCGTGAGTAAATGAGTGCGCGTGTGTGAGTTATGTGTGTATTCACCTAGTTGTGTTTGCGGGGGTTGAGCTTTGATCTTTCGGCCCGCCTCTCAACTGTCAATCAATTGTTTACTAACTACTTTTTTTTCCACACTACACACACACACACACACACACACACACACACACACACACACCAGGAAGCAGCCCGTGACAGCTGACTAACTCCCAGATACCTATATCCTGCTAGGTAACAGGGGCATTCAGAGTGAAAGAAACTTCGCCCATTTGTTTCTGCCTGGTCCGGGAATCGAACCCGGGCCACAGAATTAAGAGTGCTGCGCGCTATCCACCAGGCTGCCAGTGTGTGTGTGTGTGTGTGTGTGTGTGTGTGTGCGTGTGTGTGTGTGTGTGTGTGTGTGTGTGTGTGTGTGTGTGTGTGTGTGTGTGTGTGTGTGTGTGAGAGAGAGATGAGGGCGTGCACGTGGGCGTGGTAGAGAAATCATTCTGGCTACGATATTTTATCGAGTTTTACAGTTCGACAAATCTTGATGACGTGTTAGAGA